GAAGAAGAGTCGCAATGGGAGTCCGAGGAGCCGAAAGAGTCGGAGGAGGAGGAGGAGGAGGAGGAGGAGGAGGAAGACACTGATCAGTCTGCCAGGTCTACGAAAAGGCTGCCATTCGACAGTCCTTCGGGGCTGACATATGCGCTGTCAAGTGGGGGGTCACCCATCGCTACTGGGGACAACCCCAGCACGTAGCCTGTTACTGGGGATCAAAGGGAACCCGCCGTCGATCAGCCCCTCCTCGCTCCGAAGCCACAGGAGTGGCATCCCAGAGTGGGGCAGCACCCTCAGAGGGCGAACAGAATTTACAACTTCCCAAACTGGGTGGGCGACGCCCACACGCATCCAAAGGCACCCCAATAGCACTAGGTCAAAGCCATGACTACCGAGGACATCATCCCACTACGCCGACCTGCCTACCTTGGCGATGTGGGGAGTACGCAATCGCAATCAGGAAAACGCCTCCATTCCGGTGTCCCCATGATGGGCTGACAGGGTCTCTGGGGCAGGTAGGGTCGCTCGGTCTGAGTTTGGCCCGTGTTCGAAGCCAGAACTTCGGCAGGCTATGCCAGCGGAGCTGAGTGGAGTCGGGGTAGGGGGCACCAGGAGAATTGATAGGGACGGGAAGGGGAATTTAAGAGAATAGAATACTGCAGTGGAGCTCTGAATCAAAACGCCTCGAGGAAACTACGAGCTCGGCGCGTTGCTTTGGCAGCTGGGCCTCACGCGAGGGCAGCAGGTGGCCTGTCGGGCACCACCCGCACGGCCCCATACCAGGCGGGGGTGCTCCGCGCACGGTCAATCATCACGACACTGACGATGCGCTCTGCGCAACGTTGGCGCTCCCGACCCGGACTTCGGAGGAGGCACCGAGGTGTAGCGTTCATGTTGTTCATCATGTTCCTCCTTTTCTCCTCCTCCTCCTCCTTCTCCGCCTCCTCCTCCTCCTTTGTTTCTCTGCCCTTCAGCTCCAACTCCTAATTCAAGAGGTGGCTGACACAGCCACGCGCGCAGTGGTGGCGGGCGCTGGGAAGGAGGAGGGGGAGGAGACGGACTAGGAGGACGTACATGCAAATACATGCATACATACATACATACATACATACATGCATGCATACATACATACGTACATACACACATGCATACAAACAAACATACATACACACACATATATACATACACACATACATTCATACATACATACATACATACATACATACATACATACATACATTCATTTATTCATACATACATACATGCATGCATGCATGCATGCATACATTCATACATACATCATACATACATACAGACATACAGACAGACAGACAGACAGACAGACAGACAGACAAACAGTCAGACATGCATGCATACATACATGCACACATACAGTTCCGCCAACCGCACTAGCCTACTGGCCCCTATCTGCGCCCACGCCTCGGTGTGCGTGCACATGCTCACTGATTTGGCCACTCCAGTGAGCAGCGGAGGCCACCTCTGTGGCCAGTGCTGCGCTTGCATTCGCCGGCTACCCCTGTAGAGGCAAGCAGTTCCCCTACTTGCTCTCCGAGCGCACCCTGGCAGATTCGCCGAACAATCCGCTGCATCCCCGTGCATACTGGACAGTGCAGCTCGGAAAATTCCCCTCCCCACCTGTTCGATTTCAAGAGTCACTTCCGCTTGGCCTTCTTCGGACCCCGGCCCTCCTTCTTACCACCAAAGGCAAGTTCTTTCACCTTCTGGGCCACACTGCTCTCCGGAGCAAAGTCAAATTGAAACGAAACATCGAAAGACTTCAATCACTGCGTGGCCCGAAAGAGATGGAACATGCCCTCAACCTTCAGCTCGGCCTTCAGTCAGTGCGAAAATCTAGCGCACCTCGCCTTCAGCGTCCTGCGGAAGGTGGAAGCACCGGGTCGCGCGAAGCTCGCGTCCAGCGGGTGATGCTGCTTTGGCGCCCCATTCCTGGAGAAAGGTCCGCGCCTGCGTCACGTCCGTCTTCGCCGGTTCCGGGAGCGCCCCGACGATGGTCCCTAGAGCGGCCTGCCCCTCCTGCACGACCTGGGCGAAGCGCTGGAGGATGCTGCGCATCATCGCGTCCAGGCTTTCGCCCTCTGGGTGGCCCTTGAAGTCCTTCTCCTTGCGGGCGGTGGCGCCCATCTCGGTGTAGCATTCCTCCGCCTTCTCCAAGAGCGTCCGGAGCCTGCAGTCCTCGGGTATCTCCATCACTATGTTATCGTCCCACGCGTAGGCTCGGCGACGGCCCTCTTACTGAAGGAGCAGCCTCGCCATTGCCAAGACCAACTTCTTCTGGTTGCCGAGCGCCTCGGCACCCTCGCCCTCGCCCGCGCCCGCGGCCGCCTTCGGCGGCCCGCTTCTGCGGCTAGTGCGTGGGTGGTTGCGATGATTGGCCCGGGCTCCCAACAACTACCTTGACCTTCTGCTGTCACGGTCCAGTACGGTCCAGGAGCGCGAGGAAAGTCGACCTCAGTGTGTATGTCCCTGCGGCCACGTGTGCAACGGGGAGAAAGGGCTCAAATCCATCAGCAACGTGCGTGCCCATTATTTCAAGCCGAAGTGGGACGTGCGGCGGAGACGCAAGCACGGGCTAAAGCTAAGGCGAAAACTTCAAAATGGGTGTGTGAACAATGCTATTCCACTTTCACAAGGAAATAAGTGCTCACACATCACCATCTACATACCCACATACATACATACATACATACATACATGCATACATACATATATACATACCTACATGCATGCATGCATGCATACATACATACATACATACACTACATCTACATATACATGTACATATACATATGAATATACATATTCATATACATATACATATGCATATACATATACATATCCATCTACATATACATATCTATATATATACATATACATATACATATACATACATACATACATACATACATACATACATATATACATGCATACATATATACATACATACGTACACACATACATACATACATGCATACACACATACATACATGCATGCATGCATGTATACATACATGCATATACACATTCATTCATTCATACATACATACATGCATGCACATATACATACATACATACATACATACAAACATACATACATACATACATACATACATACATGCATGCATACATACATTCATACATACATACACGTACATATATACACACATACATACATGCATACATACATGCATACATACATACACATATACATACATCCATACATGCATACACATGCATGCATGCATACATACATACATACACACATACATGCATACATCCATCCATACATACATACATGCATGCATGCATGCATGCATAAATACATAGACGCGACTGCACGCGCGCTTCGCGTCATGCACCTTGGTCCGTGAAGTGTTGGCACGCAGGCGGAAGTCGCGGCGGAAGGGCAGGAAGGTAAAGCAGAGAAAGTAGCGCTACCTCCTCGTTACCATGTCCGACATCGTCCTCACACCAATGTCATTCGTTATCCTTCCCTCGTATTTCCTCTTCCGCTTCCTTACATTCGCCCTCCCACGCGAATTCTTCCCCATCCTCCTCTGCTCTGTTTGCGTAGGTTCCTTCTTGGAAGGCTTCGTGGGGGCCTCATGAAAAGTTTGCAAAACTTCTTTGGGCCTTCTGGGGTTTTCATCGGCGCCTTCTGGGTGCCTCTGGTGGCTTCCTCGGACCACCCTGCGTCCAATTGCGATATCTTTGAACAATCAGGTCGCGTTTTGCAATGCTTCGGGGGGCGTCTTGGGGCGTATCCTTGGCTCGCACGTCAGATCATGGCTTACCGGGGCCCAGCACGACCAACCATTACCCATCAGAGCCAATCAGGGCATATCAGGGCCGAACAGAGCTTAGCAGTGTCTGGCGCAGCAATGTCTGGATCAGCAGTGATGAGCATGGCCCTGCAGGGCGCAGCACCCCCTCGCAGGGATGAGCCAGGCTCAGCAGTGCTACGCAGGCCTTAATAGGGCATAGCAATACTGAGCGTGGCTTAGCAATGGTTAGGGATACTTGGCGGAGCCCAGCAGGGCGTAGCTGAGCCTGGCCATGCTCATCAGGGCTTAGCAGACCCTAGCAGGACGTGAAAGGCCATGAGTGGGCTAGGCATAGTTTAGCAAAGCGTAGCAGAGCCTACCAGGACAACACATCAGGGCCTAACAGGGCTCAGCAGAACTCGACAATCCTTAGGAGAACATGGCGGAGCTTAGCGGGGCAAACCGTGATTCAGCAGGGCGCTAGCGAGGCTCCTCCACGTGACTTAGCAGCACGGCTCCACTGGGCTTCGCAAGGCTGAGCAGTGTTTGTCAGTGATGCTTACCAGAGTCTAGCAGGTCCTAGCAAGGGTTAGCAGGGCTGGGCAGGGGCTGGCAGTGCTCATCAGTGCTTAGCAGGGGCTGGGAGTACTCAGCAAGATTCAGCAGGGTTTGCAAGGGCTAGCAGGGCTTTGCGTGACTTCGCAGGGGGGGGCTATCGGGATTTGGCAGGTGCTGAGAGGAGGAGGAGGAGAAGGAGGAGAAGGAGGAGGAGGAGGGGGAGGAGGAGGAGGTGGAGGCGGAGGTGGAAGAGGAGGAGGAGACAATCGAGGACGGCGATGCCACCCCAAATCTATCTGTAGATACGTGTGTAGATACATACATGCGTGACTACACGCCTGTATACACTGCATACATATAACACTGCCACCCCCACCCAGGTTTATATGTATATGGTTGGGGGTGGGGGGGGGCGTGTACAGGATGAGGATGAGGAGGGGGATGAAGAGGATGAAAGAGAGGAGGACGCCACTGAGCACGCAGACCATTCACAGACGCACGCGCCAATTCTCGCGCAGGCGTGCCCTCGACTCCGAGGGGCTCCACAGTCTCCCCCTCTCTCTCTCTTGCAGAGGAGGATGAGGAGGAGGAGAAGGAGGAGGAGAGCGATGCGCGGGGCCAGGACTGCACACAAAGCCGTAGCTCCTTTGGTGCCCCGGGAGAACTTGTTTCACCTCCGCCGCGCGAGGAAGGCGATGATGCGGAGAAAGATGGACCAACAGTTCGAGAGGAACAGGCAGGCCATGCGGTTGATGATCCCCGCCGCCATGTTCAGGAACGGAAGGAAGCTTGAGAGGATGCACAAGACGATATGGGCGCTTACCACGAAGCCGTTCATGCCGAGCCCTGCGGCGGGCGAGCTCTACTTCACATCGACTCGTTCAGTGGCTGCGCACCCAAGGGCCCCGGAGTCGAGCAGCGCTCCCAGGCGAGCACGTTGAGGATGCCGTCACGCGTGGCATTGCCCGCATCTCGGAAGACACAACTACATTCGGGACGTCATAGCTGAGCTGTTGCGATGCAACATGCCATTCAATGATTGAATGCGTCCACGTGGTCATCCTGGTAAAATACGCGTGGGATCCATGGTTCAGGGATGGGGGCCAACGCACATTTGAGCTGTACCCAATTGCCGCACTCAGAATCCTCCGGGCATGAGAGGGTTGTCACGATCATCTCAGGCGTAGCCTCCGTACCCGCTATCACCTTGTCACCAGCAGCCCAGAAACCACCAAAACCACGATGTGAGCCCAGGGAAGAGGAAGAAACACCGCTGTGAGAAGAGTGGTACAACTCGCCAGATCCATTCTGCACCCCGCACCGCTGCATCACGTCGCAGCGCCCAGTCACCAGGCGATCCAAAAATGCGCGTCGAAATGGAGCTGCTGTCGTCGGAGCCCGAACTGGCAAGCTCAGTTGGATCCATCCCAAGGTTATGATCCTCAGGTCCTTGCCGTTCATCGGCATCAAGCCTTGCAGGAGGAAGACGGTTCTCGGTACGGTGATCCAGACCCGCATGCGCAGCGTGTCTTGGTGAAGGTAAGAGCATCCTCGGAAGGTTGGGCATGTTTCTGATCTGCATGTGCCTCCTCCGATCACGGAAAGCCGCCATGTGCAAGTCCGCAACTCTTTACCAACTGGCAAGAGGGAATTTCGCCAGTGTCTCTGAGCCTCCTGCGTGCCGCACCCGTGCGATTTCAGGCAGCTTCGCAGAGGCCCCATGCCCTGATCCAGAATACGGCATGTCCAACAGCATGACCGTGTAGGGAACGCACCAGTCAATCCAGTCATCAAGGTTGCGCCAAAGCTTACCATCGGTCATGAAGAATCACTGCTCCGCGAATCCCTCTGGGTGATTGATATGCCGACATGCTTCATCATAATCTCGCAGAAAGAATGGATGGGGGAGGTTCTCCCATCGCACAGCGCGGGGATGTCTTACCAGAAGACGCACTCATTATGGAATTCGCACGCACTGCATGGCCGTCTGGCCAATCGCGGGGGCTCGAACTCGATAATGCCGGCATAGGACGGAGTCACCTGACCTCGCTCTGAATCAGTTGCAGGTTGGAATGCGAGCCATCCTTATCGTCGAGACTGCCCAGGCAAGCAACCCTGCCATCTTCGCCACGAGACCTATCAGACATATCACGAACTGACGTCAAGTCGGGTCCATCATGGCTGAGCGGAGGGGGAGGAGAAGGAGGAGGATGAAGAAGAGGATTAGGATGGCCGTGGTGATGACGTTGATGAGGCTGCTGTTGCTGATGATGACAATGATGGTGAGGAGAGGGAACGAGGGAAGGTGGGAGAAGGGGCGGCAGGATGAGGAGCATCAGAAGGAGAAAGGGGAAGGGCAGGAAAAGGAGCAGCAGGAGGAGAGTTGATGATGATGATGATGATCATCATCATGATCATGATCATGATCATGATGATGATGATGATGATGATGATGATGATGATGATGATGATGATGCTGATGATGATGATGATGATGATGATGATGATGATGATGATGATGATGATGATGATGATGATGATGATGATGATGATGATGATGATGAGGATGCTGAAGGTGATGATGATGATGATGATGATGATGAGGAGGAGGAGGAGGAGGAGGAGGAGGAGGAGGAGGAGGAGGAGCAGGGGGCCGAGGAGCACGACAGGGCCAGCGGGCTCCTCGTGACCCCGCCGTCCGTGCCGTGTCGCCGCACCTGGCCGCGGGGGCATCTTGGAGGAATTCGGGATGCACGGGACGGCGGGGGGGGGGCGGGAGTGCTGGCCCCACTGGGTGAACAACCGGCCTCCCCTGGTTGTTCCAAATCGTGCTCCCGTTGCAGCGCGGGCGTTTTCGGTAGGCCCCAAAATCTAAAAAATGCCCCCCCCCGAAAAAACCGTCGGAAGTGATTACACATTCCCTGTCGGCTCGTTGACTTTTTTGGGCCGCAGAAGCCACCCCCCCTTTGGGGCGTCGTCGGTTTCAGGAAGTACCCAGCGGGAGCCCCGTTTGTGCTTCGAGGAGGCGATGTCGAAAGCAGGGCTAGCAGGTGCTCTCCATCAGCCCCGCCTCGTGTGGAGCTTCTCGGGGAGCCCAGGGAGCTAGACATGGAGCCACGACTCCAGATCGGCCCAGACCTCGCGA